CACCTACTCTTTCTCACCCCTATCCGAGGCCATCCTCCGCTCTACTACTCAACCTATATCCTTTGCCTACATCCTCTGTGTATGTCTCTCTCTCTCTCTCTCTCCTCAGTAGAACTACCAGACTCTCTGACTCCCGAGCAATCACCGATTTGTCTGAATAAGCCCCGGGCAAGTATATGCTTATGCTTACCCCCAGAGGAATCACTGACTCTCTCTCCAAAATACTCGCGTTCATCGATGCCTAATAGGAATGAGAGAAGAGCGAACGGCTGAAGGAGAACGAAAGAGTAAACGGAGGGAGCTAGAGCGAATAAGAGAGTACACTTAGGATGCTTTCTATGTCTCTATCGTTCTCGCCATCTTTACCATTAAGCGAGCGCTCATAGGTTTTAAAGAGCAGTGCGGATAGAGCTGTTTTTGTCACTTTCTTTTGTTCTTCAATTTCTTTTTCTATTCAGCCGAGATTATCGCTTTACTTTCTTTGTTCTCGGCAATAGCTTGGCTCAGTTTATTTTACATTTGTGCTATAAGCTTATATGGGGCTGCTTGGGTCACGTGTTACAAGTCATATATTTTCATTGCAATAGATAATTATTTGGTATTTCATTATACGAGTACCACTTGCCTTGTAGTTTCCGAGATTTCTTATCGTGCAGGATAATACAGCCTCGCGTCCACTGGCCGCTGTCACGTTGCCAATGGGTCCGGCGAAATTCGGAAAATCTGTAGAATTTACAAGAGAGAGATAAACAAATAATAATAATGCTACGGCAGACATATAGAAAAGTATACAATTTCGTGAACTGGCGTAAATACACTCGACGTAAATATCCGGCAGCTGGCTGCTCGGCGCCGGAAGTAGCAATCTCCCGTGGGGTGCTCCTACCTACCACCCCAATACGAGGACGAGACTGGATAGAGAAGGTTAGAGCGAGAGGCAGCTAGGGGATAGGTCGGTCTCGGTATTATGATAAGATATTCACTGATAGAAACAGGAAAGGGAATTTTCAGATTTTCCCCCGTGTCTAGAATGTAATATAAGGAAAACACTGGAAAAATAGCTGGGGACGTATCTACGTCTCTCTCGTACTCGCGGACGCTCCTCTATTTCTCTCTTTCTTCGTTTTGTTCCTCATTTCTCTGTCTCCCTCTATCCCGCACACACTCGGCTCTACCTTGAAACGAGGATCGAGAGAACTTCTACTCGACGTCGGTCCTCTGCCGACGGCGGAACGCTTTGCCTATATCTATATCAGTTTTATTTTATGGCAGAAATATTCTCGGGGAAAAATAATTCAATCTTCCGCGGTCCTACGTGGAAGCCGGTGAAGCGGGGGGGGGGGGA